TGGATTTGCTTTTCCTAGCTATGATAAAAAGCTAGGTGAGAGAAGGTAAGAGGGATACTGGTTCTAGTGAATTGGTTCAATTCACTAACTATAGATCATACTTTACTTATTTTAGTAAATCAGTTTTAGAAATAATACATGTTTTGATAAGTAAAAAGTTTATGTATGCAGCATACTTAAGATAAAAAATTTGAATTCTATTTGGTCATTTTTGATAGACTTTGAATTTGTATGCGGATAAAGTGTACACAAATTACAAGTTTAAAAAAAATCTAAGAAAATCATGAGCCATTTTCTAATAGAATAAATGTAAAAGAATCTGAATAAATATATATTAATCTCCATAAGTGCTTAAATAATTGTGTAAAATAGCATGTCCTGATGGTTTTCAATAAGAAGCCATAAATGTAAAAGAATAAAATCATGTCACCAAAATAGGAAATGAAGTGAATGAAGACAGAGGAGGAGAGGAAGAGATAACAAGATTAAGGGAGAAAAAACAGAAGGAAAAGAGCTGCCATCCTTCATCTTGCAGCATGGAGTTGCTGCTTCCAGAGAAGCCATATGGCATGGAAGCAGCAAGAAAGCCAGTTTTCCCATGATCAAAGTCCATTCTTTTTTATCACTTTGTGATTAAAAAAGTGAATTAAATTTACTTCTCAAGTAAGGACCAAGATTTTGCCCCTCTAACAATCCATAATACTGCTGCTGCCTTACTACATGTGCAGTCCCACAGACTGATTGCAAGGAGCTATTTGCAGAGCAAAGCTATTTGCAGAGCACTATGACAGAACGGCAGAATCTAATCCTAGGAATTTTAACATTTTTCCCCCAGCAGTGGATCTATGACTCTACCTACTATTCCAATTCCACAAACTACACTGATTTTATAGTTTAGGGAGGTAATAGTGTAGTCAATTAACTAACATATAGGTTAATGTTATAGACTACACACATCCTCCCCCCTCCCCGCCAGTACTTTTTTAGCAGGCTGGCCAGCAGCCTGGTTCAGTCCTTACTTGTGTCAGGTCCAGGACCTAGCCTCACTACAGCTCTGAATTTAAAGTGTATTACTAGGCAGACAGGCAGGCAGCCCAATTCAGTTCTGGCTCATACTGTAACTGCATCAGAGGCAGCAGTGCAGGGCAACAGGCAGCCGGTCCGCAAGAGGAGCTGGTTTTTAAACTGGCTCCCCTTGTGGACCAGCTCCTGCCTGGCACCCCACACTGCTGCCTCTGATACACAGGCAACAGCACAGAGTGGCAGGGGACTCCTTGGAAGTGGGGTCGGAGAGCACTGGCTGTCGACCCTGCCTCCAGGGACTATAGAATAGTCGAGTAACTGATAAGAATTCAAGAGGTTACTCGACTATTCAATTAACCGATATTTAACAACCCTATTATAGCTTCAAGGGGTAGCCAAGTTAGTCTGTACAGGATAAACTTAAAAAACAACAAAAGGTCTAGTAGCACTTTATAAACTAACAATACATGTAGATGGAATCATGAGCTTTTGTGGGTACAGCCCACTTCTTCAAACCCTGGTCAGCTGAATCTCAGCAATGGTGGCACTACATCAGCATTTTGGAAGGACCAATTAATTGACTGCCAGCAGTGCCTATCAATTCCTTTGCTGTGGCCTTCCTTGAAGTGCTGGTGCCTTCCTTGAAATGCTATTGCCTGCTTTGGAACCCTTGCTGGAAGCAAAGCCTGGGGAAGCCGGCAGTGGAGCAGCCCAGGCACGCCTGGGCTGCCCCGCTGCCTGAGCTCCCCCCCCCCCCCCCCCCCGCGGCTTGGCAAAGCCTCGGGGGAAGCCGGCAGCGGGACAGCCCAGGCGCCCCATGGCTGTCCCGCTGCTGGCGTCCTCAGAGGCTTTGCTCCCCGTCTCCCTGGTCTGCTGGTCTCCAGCAGACCAGGGAGACTGGGAGCAAAGCCGCAGAGGACGCAGGCGGCGGGACCGCGGTGCGTCTCGGTCCGCCGCCCGCGTCTTCCTGGTCTGCTGGGGGGGGGGGGCGCAACTAGTACGCCTCCCCCCCAGCAGACTAGGCTTTTCTCCGGACGCCTGTGGCAGAGCAGCTGGGGCGCTGCCGGTTGGTCCCGCAGCGCTGCTCTGGGCGCTACTGGACCACCCCGGCAGCACCCCAGCTGCTCTGCCCCAGGCGTCCTGATTCAGCCGCTGCTGAAACTGACCGCCAGTTCCGACTTACATACAGAATCAATTTAAGAACCCCAAGCGTCCCCAAGTCAGCTGCTGCTGAAACTGATCAGCAGCTGATTCCAAGAAGCCTGGGGCAGAGCAACTCTGCCTCGGGCTTCCTGTAGTCAGCGCTGGTCAGTTTCAGCAGCAGCTGACTTGGGGACGCTTGGGGTTCTTAAATTGATTCTGTATGTAAGTCGGAACTGGCGGTCAGTTTCAGCAGCGGCTGAATCAGGACGCCTGGGGCAGAGCAGCTGGGGTGCTGCTGGGTTGCTCCAGTAGCGCCGCTCCTCGGCGCTACTGGACCAACCCGGCAGCACCCCAGCTGCTCTGCCCCAGGCGTCCTGATTCAGCCGCTGCTGAAACTGACCGCCAGTTCCGACTTACATACAGATTCAACTTAAGAACAAACCTACAGACCCTATCTTGTACGTAACCCGGGGACTGCCTGTATAGGTCTCTTCTAGATGACAGAAGTTCTACACCATTAAGTCTAAAGCTAAGTTTGACACACATTAAGTGCTAAAAGGGTGCATGGGGCATTGTTGTGTATAGGTGAGTTATATCAAACAAGTAATAGAGTCCATATTCCACTTCTTAAAATCATAAGGTGTTCTGCTTATTATTGTATGCATAATTAACTTGCCATTCTTTGTATCTACAGAGTGGAATAGGTGGATCTTCTGTGAGGAAGTAGAAAATGAGAATTTGGCACATGAGGATGTTCCAGTTGTACAGCATAAATGTGAAAGGAGCCTCATGAAGTTAAGAGTGGGCAACGGGGAAAAAAAGTAAGGGAGAGGTCAGGAGAGAATTTGGGTAAGTTGTTAACATCACGACATGTGGCAAAAGGGTAATGCAGAGATGAAGTATTTGGAATTAAAGAGGAGTGTCTTGAAGGCATATGGCATAGAACTGGGATGACTGTGAATATATTTTACTTTGATTCACTTCAACGGCAGAATTCTTGCAAGAAATTGATTTACAGACCTTCAGACCGTCCATGCCACAATAGTTTGATGTAATAGCCTTTGATTTACCATACAAATAGATATTCATTATTTAATCTGCTAGTAAAAAAAACAACTTCTCAGAAGGGATACTGCACAATGAAAAATGGAAAAACATGTTCCACTGGCATCAATTTATGCTCACCACTTTAATGCTGTTCTATTCATTTACAAGCAGAGTTCTAAATTACAGAGTTCAGTTTATAAAATGAAATTGGAATATAATTCAACCCACAACTCTGACGTTTTATAGCACTTCAAAGCAATCTCAAAGTTACTTCTCAGAGGCAAACAAGTATTCAAATTCCCATCATGCACATTCACTGGGGCAAACAATGCTACTAATCATTTAAGGGAAGGATGATTTTGTGGCACATGACTAAGAGACAGCAGCAGTATGGGCTATATACACAACTGAATCCCATACTTTCTGGATGACAACAGGTAATTCATTTACTCCATAGTTCTCTTTCCCAATCTGTAAAGATAAATTATCTGTGTCGTGTTAAAGCTGAATGTTTAATTCACAGTGACAACCATTGCAAACAAACCAGGTCTTAACCCAAATTATGAACCAGAGATCTTCAAAGATTAGAAGATCCATGGAATAAACACAGTTGGTCAGATATTCAGTAAGGAAAATTTTTCACACTTATTTAGAGATCAAAACTAACTTTAACTATCCCCCACTCCCCTAGTACCAGTGCTTTTAAAACAGTCACTATGTTTCTCAACTTCCTAAAAACCTGTTTTTATACAGAAAGCTAACTCCAACAGAAGGGATGGCTTCTGGTGAATTAGGAAACAAACAAAAAATTTTGCAAGACAGTTTTCCTAACAAAAAAGCATCCATATATGACACACTGGGAAAAGGATGCAATAGACAGAAAAGATACACTAGAAGAAAGGGAATTCATCTGTAAAAGTGGGCCTGCATCATCAGTCAGTAGCACTTTAAAAAGAAAAATTCTTTAAGATAATGTTTCAACGGTGCCTCACACAAGACAGGTTAAAAAATGAAAATAAACTGAATGTGAAAAAGTGTTGAAGAAATTGTGGTGAAAAAGGAGATTTTATGTACCTATGACTAGACATGTCCTCCAAAATAAAATACAGTAAAACTCCAGTGGTCTGGCATCCAGTGGTCCGGCACCATCTGGAACCCGGAAGTGCTCCAGGCAGCCGGACAATTGGAGCTGCTCTGCCCCCAGCTTCCCCGATTCAGCCGCTGCTGAAACTGACCAACGGCTTACTCGGGGAAGCCGGGGGCAGAGCAGCTGGGGTGCTGCCAGGTTGGTCCCGTAGCGTCGCCCCTCGGCACCGTGGAACCTCCTGGTAGTCAGCCGCTGGTCAGTTTCAGGGGCGGCTGACTTGGGGACGCCTGGGGCAGAGCAGCTCTGGTGCTGCTGGGCTGGTCCCTCAGCGCCGAGGGGCGCATCCCCCAACTCCACCCCAGACTCCTCATAGCCCCCCCTTCCTATAGTCCATCATATTTGATAATCCGGCACCTAAAGGTGCCGGATTATCGGAAGTTTACTGTATTGGGATTTAATCTATAAGGGGCGGCTGACTTGGGGACGCCTGGGGCAGAGCAGCTCTGGTGCTGCTGGGCTGGTCCCTCAGCGCCGAGGGGCGCATCCCCCAACTCCACCCCAGACTCCTCATAGCCCCCCCTTCCTATAGTCCATCATATTTGATAATCCGGCACCTAAAGGTGCCGGATTATCGGAAGTTTACTGTATTGGGATTTAATCTATAAGCAATAGTACATATCATTCATTAGTCATTTCTTACCAAATGACTCTTTAGTAATCCTCCCAGGGCTTCTTAGTGGAAATGATCACAAATGAGGAAATGAAGAATCAATCTCTCATCTGGTATCTGCCTGATTATTGGTTCAAAAATATGAGAGATTGTGGTTACAGAAAAATTAACACACCAATTACATACCACTGAAACAGAGGACAGCTAGATACATAGAAATCTGGTTACCTTTTATTCAGTACTCAGGTATTCATCTGCCCCCCCAAAAAAACCCAAACCAGCATGCATCTCCAATGTTTACTATTAACATCTGACAGACATAATGGCATGTTAAGTATTTATGTATGTATGTATGTATGTATGTATATATAGAGATGCCACTCAACTTAATAAAACATGAAGGTGTTGGAAATGACAAAGATTTTGTAATAAGCTTGCTTTGTAAACCTGAAACACCTTGTTAAATCTAGTGCTTCTGTGTAACTTCTCTTTAAACAAAAGAGAACAATTGTAATGATTATTTTGTTTTGATATTTACATGGCAAGGCTATGTAAATTTGTTAAAACTTCCTACATAAACAGTTAAAGAAAAGCTAAATATTTGCAATGCATTGAGACTCTCTGGTGTTTACTAGTCCTTTCTAGTTACCTCAGAATTATGTAATGCACTAAAACAGTTACAATAAGAAAACATATGAAAAGTGCATATTTCCAATAAATACTAAAAGCAAACAAAAGAGTTTAAAGAACTACAGGTGTCACTTAATTTGAAAGCCTTTCACTTTGAGATTTAGTGTATTAAATAGACACATTATGTTGCTTTTTACTTATAGGCAAGCTAGGAAAGTGTTACTACACTACCACTAATACAAGCAGACAGCGAAAATGCCATGTTTCAGTGTATGCTTGAGAACTTGATTATGCTTGATGGTCAATCTAACCCCTGTACAAGTCTCAAATGTACAATAAAAAAACATCACTGACTTTTGGAGCCCAGAGTTAAAAAACAAACAAACAAAATTGGAGTTGGTTATAAATTAAGTACATTTGGTGGACACAAATGATACTCTAGATTATAATACATTCGCCTTCTTGCATTTCAGTTTAAGTCCTCTCTTGCAAAATATTCCTACACACAGTCCTTTGCTTTGTCAAACAGCTTTAACATGACAGTGCACATGCACCTAAAGAGCAGCGAAACTATATTTGCAAAATATAATTATTTTAAGCCATTATAAGTTCTGTACAATACTTTAGAATGGCTTAGCATTCCATTTTGCTTGGCAAAGACTCATGACCCCTTCAGCAAATAATAAAATCAATCGCTCTTACTAGCAACTATCAAAACACACATGGAGCCAAAATATTTTGTTGAATAAGTTACTCAGTCACAGCACCCAAAAATCATTAATAGACAGAACCACAGAGATTCTTATCTGCAGCTGCACAATTCATAAAAAGCATTTAAAATAATCAGTTATATATTGCAACATTTTGTGGCTACTCTTGGTTTATGGGCTCAGCATATAAACAGCTTATCCAAAACAACAATGAAGGATATCAAAAATAAATTCTTACCTGTTAATCTGATTACCCCAATTCTTGCTTTACAAGTCCCAACAAGCAGGAATTTCTTCACAGTATTCACAGCAATTGGGTGGAGCTACTTGTTAATCACAGCATTCAAAACTTTTCTTCATAGGGCAGCAGTCCTTTCAAAGAAACTGGTTAAGCAATAACCAGATAAGGTGCTTGCTCAGCTCCACAGAGAATGCTAGCTGCACATACCCATAGAATGGCAATGGAAGGAACCAGCAATCCAGTAGGTTCAGAAGCTTCTCAGATGCTCTCTTTCTCAAGGAGTGAATTCTTCTAGATCAGATGTGTCTCTTATCTCCTGAATAGGAAAATGTTAATAAACCACTCATTTTATGTTTTTTTAAAATGGCTAGATAGATTCCTTTTCAGATAGTTGCATGACTTTTTTATACCATATTCTGAATTTTCCTCTTTAAAAAAAACATTTGGGCACAACATTGGTAGTAAAACTTCTCAAGAAGAATGACAGTGCCAAATCAGCCAGAAATGTTGTCACAATGCTTTATGTCACCTTTTCTTTGTAGAAAATTAGGTCTCTAGTCACTTGTCTCAGCAGATATAGGACTTCAAAACGATACAGGACTTTGATCACAATTGGCTACACAAACAACAGGTAGAGATGAATGGGAATTGAATACAAGTCCCGAAAATTACTCTAATACAATAGCCAATCATACAGAAATTTGCAATTAGGTTCCATTATCTACTATATATTTGAGAGTTTGCCTGTCTAGGTGTGTATGTGTCTGTCTATATGTTCAAGAACTCCTCCTAAACAGTGAGAGCTAGAACCATCAAACTTGGTATGTAGCTTCCTCTTATCAGAACTTAAACCAGAGATGGGCGATAAAACAGCAGCAGTTTTCCAGGATTAGCCCCTGGTGGGTCATCGCCACATTATTTACCTGCGCCTCCACAGGTACCAGCGATTGCAGCACCCTTTCGCCACGGATCACTGTTTCCAGCCAACAGAAGCTGTGGGAAGCAGCACAGACTGGGACATTGACTCCTGGAGCTCCCATTGGCTAGGAACGGCGATCCACAGCCAATAGGAGCTGCACTCGCTTGTACCTGTGGAGGCGCAGGTAAAGAGAGCAGTGGCAGCCCAACAGCGGCTAATCCTGGTGGACTGGATCCAGCCTGCGAGCTGATATTTGCTCACCCCATCTTAAACCAAGATTAGGGTTTGGTTGTGCCAGGAAAATGGGATGTGCCCCGAATCAAATTGCTTCTCATAAAACCATACAGAAAAGAGACAGAATTACCAGGCAGGTGAAAGGGACTAAATAGGGGCACACATGCCCCCCCCCCCCCAGGACTGTCCCAGCCTCGAGCCTCCCACCCCTCATGTGCCCTTTAGGGAGAATGCGGGGGGAAGGGGACTCCACCTCCAGATTTGTTCAGGGATGTTGCTGGCCATTTCTTTTCATCAGGGAGACAGAAGGAAGTACGCAGCTTTCAGCATGCCTCACTGGCTGGGGGGCTCAGGGGGCAGACGAACCTGGACCTGCACCTCTCCCCTGGCTCCATGGCTGCTGCAGCTCCAGAAGACACAGAGGTACTTCTCTCCTTGTCCCAACCTGCTGCAGTGAGAGGGCTGGAGTAGTCCTCTCTCTCCCCAGGGCAGCCTGCATACTGAACCCCTCCATCCCCATCCCCACCTCAGAGAAATGATTTAAATGAAGCTTATGCATTTCATTTTATTTTCCAAAGAATAAAAATGGATTGAGTTAAGGACTTGAGTAACACAGGGTAAATCTTCAAGTAAGATTTATATTTAGATATACATCCCTATGACTATGAAAATTGGTTTGGCCTCAGAGTTACATTTACTCTGCAAGCTAAATATGCAGGACACTTGTTATTTTAAATGGAAACATGTTAAGAATTTAAATTCATTTCTTTAAATGAAGATCAATAATAAAAATGTTATCACAATTTCTTTCTGTTCCTCTAGCACCAAAATTGCTTATTACCCATTCAAACTTTCCACAGTTATATTTCTTTCAACTCAAGCATAGGTCATCTATGGAGGTTATGACTAGTGTTGGGCAAAATTTCTCAGCCAAAACTTCTTACTGTAAAATGCATTCAGATCAACTGGAACATTTCAGAAATTGATGTCAATTTTGACAAATTATTTGAAAGAAAAGAAAAAACATTAGGAAACTTCTAAGTGGGGGTTCATTTTGACAACCATTTTTGGGGCTAGATTCACAACCCCAAGGAGAAGGTGATTGTAGTGGTGCCGCACCACTCAACCCCTTTTACTTAGGAAGGGCACTCAGTCACCCGGGATGTGGAAGACCCAGAACTGAATCGCCCTCTGGAGTGAGGACTGGAATCCAGGTTTTGCTCTTTCCCATCTCAGGTGAGTGTCCTTATCACTGGGCTATAGGGAAGTGGTGGGCAACCTGCAGCCCCCCCTCCCCCGCCCATCTGCTGTTTGTGGCTATTCAAGCTCTGTGAGGGAGGGGAAGGAGTAAGGACAGAGTGCAAGTCAGCAGATTTATGGCACTCTAAGCGCTGGGAGGGAGAGAGAGGAGCAGGAAGTGTGGGATCAAATGCACAAGAGATATGAGGAGAGGGGCAGAAAGGAGTGAATGGGCCGCAAGTGGAACCCCAGGTTGCCCACCACTGGATTTCAATCATGCAGCCCACTGAGACAAAGGAGGGCCACCCACTAGTCTTGGTTGCCCATTGCATCTATAAGGTTTTTGGGAGTGGGATTCTCAGGCTCACCAGTTAAAGTTCATTGGGGAATGGAAAAGAATGAGAGAGAATGCCTTTATAGCCTGTTGGTTAGGGGACTTCCAGTCCCTAGTCCAATCAGTATTTACAAAGGTGGAACAGATTCAAGAGAAGAGACGGACCCATGGCCTACAGATTAGTGATTACAGCACTCACCTGAAAGAGGAGAAACCAGGGCCCAAGTCCCTGCTTGTGGGCAGGGATTCACACCTGGTCTTCCCACATCCCAAATGGCATCACTACCTTGGTTTTGTGAATGAAGCATTTTGCTTTTATTTAAAAAACAGTTATAAATAGCCAAAAATTAAAAAGACATTTCATTTGTGAAGCAAAATGTTTTGTTAAAAAACAAACAACAATCCCAAAACATTCAGTTCAGATCATCAACCTGAAAGAGAAACTTTTGGAAATGCAAACAAACCAGTCAGTTATTTGCACCTCTAGTTATATGACTAAACAATTAGACATTCTAATGCATTTAATGCTAGTGTTAAGATGCTATTTAAGGAGTAATTTGCCCCCTGGTGGTTGGTCAGTATTTCTTATTCACTATTTAGAATTACACTTTCATGCCTGTGAAATCACTATTTTTTGTTCTGCAACATCTTTCACCTGCCCCTCAAACATCAATTTACTTGTTTTCTAATTAGTTGCTTCAGTTCAGTCACCCAAAGTTTTGGGGGAGTATATTAAACTTTGGCTCAGTTTACACACAAATTGCACTGATACCTCAACTGATTTCTAAATGGATTTAGGTAAAATTCAGTAAGGTCTGGGGAGCCCTAAAGTTGCCAGCAGCCCAATAGCCGGGGAAGGCTTCCTCTGGTGGGCACAGACAAGACTCTCAAGATCTAAGCAAGTGGTAGTTCTGTCAGGTAACCCCAAAAAATGTTGCAGTTAGAGACTGAGAAAAACATCTGATGGTTTAAAAGAGTCTTTAGATGTTGAGGCTGTCTCCCCACTAGGGATGTTAAAATGTGTTTATTTTTGTAAACGTGTCATTGCTGAAATTTTAATCGGTGACACATTTACGTACGGGGTGGAGCAAGCAGGAGCCATTGTTCACAGAAATCCAGCTGTATCACAGGCAGCAGTACAGGGACAGGCAGCTCTGCAGGAGACAGTGCTCGGGGCCAGCTCCCCACTCCATCTCTCCCTCCCCCACCCCCTCTGATACAGAGGCAGTGGCAGGGGGGCTACACGTAACTGTCAGGGTTAACCAATAAGCCTAGGTTCATTAGTTAACCATGTAACACGTTCACATCTCTACCCCCACTGTGCTCTCTTCCTATCTGTGAGCTTCTAATACAATGACTCTCTTCCCTCACCTGTCACCGTATGGGGTGCTTTCTGAACAGCTAAGCTCTCTGCCCCATAAAGACACACTGGTCCTTTTTTAGCTTGGATGAGCTAATGAGAATCCCCTAACAGCATGAATAGTAACTTATTCTGCATCTTCACACAGGATTTAGGCTAGATCTTGGAGTAGCTGAACAGAGGAGCTTACACAGCCTTCTAGGAACCCCCAGTCTATTATGACAAGTATATGATGCCCTACCTGAACACAAAGGACATCTACTTCAGGCCTGTCCTGGTGCCCCAGATAGCTCTGTAAGAAGTTACATTTTGTCCCCAACTAAGCTGCTGAAATATACAGAAGACTGCCAAATTGCCCGTTTGCCTCAGCAACCACCTAACATCAGGCCAGCCCCAGGTTGTCACCCTACTCAAAAAGTAATGGGTCCAGCTGCCCTGGGGGGAAAAAAACAGAAATGTGTGCGTTTAAGTAAGTAAATCTATGTGTTTAGTGATTATTGATCGTATCTCACTATCAAACTGAAAGTGATTTGCCCAAGGGCACACCAGGCAGCTGTGACAGGGTCAAAAATAGATCGCCTTAGCCTGGCAATATGAATTTAATAACAAGGTCATCTTTCCACCCATGTCACCCTAAGAAACTCATAAAAAAAACCAAGCTTCCATACAAACTGCCTCATGAGTGGACTTTACAAAAATTAGACAAGCCACTTACAATGCTCACTTCACTTCCCTACGGAAGAAAAAGAACAATTAACTATCCATGCCACAGAGTACTACAACTCTGGTATCCTCAACTAACCTAACAACATTGTCAAACTATCCAACCACACTCAGCAGTAAAGTCTGTCCCATCTCGGGGACTCTCCTTCTGTCCCATCACCCCCTCACATGATTCAGTTCTGCAGTGACCTTGAAGCCTATTTTTGCCACCTCCGTCTGAAAGAATATTTCCAGCACTGAACATCACACTGACCCTCAGGATTCCCCCCACCAATCCCACAAGAGGAAGACCTCTTTGTGGACCCCTTCTGATGGTTGTAATGAGAGTCTGGATTTCTACATTGATTGCTTCCACACATGTGTAGAGACTGATATTGTGAGCAAACAACATCATGTAACACAATCTCAGCCATGTAGAACACAACACAACCTCAAAACCAACTCTAACATTATAATCAAAGAAGTTGACAAAGGGGAGCACTGTAGTCATCATGAACAGAACAGATT